GCTACTTCATAACTGTAATTTTGCTACTGTTATGAATCGTAATGTAAATATCTGATATGCAGGATGTATTTTCATTCACTGGACCAAATTTGAGTATTGGTAGGATTGGGAGGGATTGATTTTATGATTTGGGAGTTGTAGTTGCTGGGACTTATAGTTCACCTACAATCAAAGAGTATTCTGAACTCCACCAATGATGGAATTGAACCAAACTTGGCACACAAAACTTCCATGACCAACAGAAAATACTGGGGGATGCCTGGCTCAAGAGCAGTACGTGTGAAAAAGATCTTGGAGTCCTCGTGGACAACAAGTTAAACATGAGCCAACAATGTGATGTGGCGGCAAAAAAAGCCAATGGGATTTTGGCCTGCATCAATAGGAGCATAGTGTCTAGATCTAGGGAAGTAATGCTACCCCTCTATTCTGTTTTGGTTAGACCACACCTGGAATATTGTGTCCAATTCTGGGCACCACAATTCAAGGGAGATGTTGACAGGCTGGAGTGTGTCCAGAGGAGAGCGACTAAAATGATAAAAGGTCTGAAGAACAAGCCCTATGAGGAGCGGCTTAAGGAGCTGGGCATGTTTAGCCTGAAGAAGAGAAGGCTGAGAGGGGATATGATAGCCATGTATAAATATGTGAGAGGAAGCCACAGGGAGGAGGGAGCAAGCTTGTTTTCTGCTTCCTTGGAGACTAGGACGCGGAACAATGGCTTCAAACGACAAGAGAGGAGATTCCATCTGAACATGAGGAAGAACTTCCTGACTGTGAGATCCGTTCAGCAGTGGAACTCTCTGCCCCGGAGTGTGGTGGAGGCTCCTTCTTTGGAAGCTTTTAAACAGAGGCTGGATGGCCATCTGTCAGGGGTGATTTGAATGCAATATTCCTGCTTCTTGGCAGGGGGTTGGACTGGATGGCCCATGAGGTCTCTTCCAACTCTTTGATTATATGATTCTATGATTCTATGGAAGGGTTTGATGGGCATTGACCTTGAGTTTTGGAGTTGTAGTTCACCTACATTCAGAGAGCACTGTAGACTCAAACAATGATGGATCTGGACCAAACTTGGCATGAATACTCAATATGCTGTAATGTGATCATTGGTGGAATTTGTGGAAAATAGACCTTGACATTTGGGAGTTGTAGTTGCTGGGATTTATAGTTCACCTACAGTCATTCTGAATCCCACTAGAATTGGGCCAAACTTCCCACACAGAACCCCTATGTTTTACTATGTTTTCTGATGGTCTTTGGCGACCCCTCTGACACCCTCTTGCAACCTCCCTAGGGGTTCCCGGACCCCAGGTTGAGAAACACTGATATAGATGGAAAATTTAATGCCGAAGTCTAGCATATCTAGAGAGGACTCTGGTATTGTACATCTGTATAACAAACCCAAATCAAACTCACTCATGCATCCAGGCGGCAATTTCTTCATCTTGGCTTCGCTATTTTCTACATATATATCTCATTCAGATAGTGGCAATAAGGAACATCATCGTCAATGGCATCAGCACCTAAAATGTTTATTTGTGTATTAGATTTATACAGTGTCTTTCCCTTATGTCCTTATCAGGCTTACAGGTGAGAGATGATTGAAAAGTCTACCAGTTTCCCCCCTAAAAGCTAAAAATATAAGTAAGACTTATTTATTAAAAACAGACTGTTATATTCCTTCAATTTCAAGGACACATTTGTTTCTAAATGTGGAAAAGTAAGGTGCTATAATGAAAAGTAACAAAGTTTCTTCTATTTTATGTTTGTTTACACTGTGTGAGGGGAAAGTATTTTGGGCAAAACCCGACCTCACTGAAGTCATTGTGTGTTTTTCCTGCAATTTAAGTCGGAATAAATTTTCACTCTTCCATGTGTAAACTTTCATTATAGAGTCACTGATGGCTCCATTTCCAACTGGATTATATCTTTAAATCCAGCTTCCTTTCCATTTTGTGCCATGACAGCATGTGCCTTATCCAGTCAATTGATATGTTTATGCAAAGTATGAGTCTACCAGATATGTTATGTCTTGAAAGTAAAATATGAAAATGAAGACTTTTCCTTAAATATCTGCTAGGCAATGATAATAGCCAACTCTATTCTAGGGGAATGAAATATTTGTTCATTATACTTGTAATATATATTAGTAAAATGACATGTCTGGGTTTCCTGAATTAGCATTTTGATTGATAATGATGACTTTAAAATCTGACAAATCTCAATATACAATCGTGTAAGGGAGTGTTTCTCAACCTTGGGGTTGGGACCCCTGGAGGGGGGTCTTGAGAGGGTTTCAGAGGGATCACCAAAGACCATCAGAAATCATGTATTTCTGATGGTTTTACGAACCCTTTGGTAGAGAAAGCTGAAGATCTCTCCACCTGTCCTTCTCTTCCTTTTTGGAAGCAGATGGTGAATCCTCCCATCAAAATTCTTCTTCTGCTGTGATTAGCTGACCTCTCAGCCAAGGGGAGGGCTGTTTCTGAGACCCCAAGTGGGGAGGGGAGAGCAGGCATGCTCGGCACATGGCAGCATAGTGCACATGTGCGGGAGAGGGAGAGCATGCGAGGCTGGAAAGAGGTTCATGCCAGCAAGTCCCCTCAAGGCATGGGGGTTCTGTGTGGGAAGGTTGGTCCAATTCTGTCACTGGTGGGTTTAAGAATGCCCTTTGATTGTAGGTGAACTATAAATCCCAGCAACTACAACTCCCAAATGTCAAGTTCTATTTTCCCCAAGCTCCACCAGTGTTCACATATGGGCATACTGAGTATTTGTGCCAAGTTTGGTCCAGATTTATCATTGTTTGAGTCCACAGTGCTCTTTGGATGTAGGTGAACTACAACTCCAAAACACAAGGTCATTGCCCACCAAACCCTTCCAGTATTTTCTGTTGGTCGTAGGAGTTCTGTGTGCCAAATTTGGTTCAATTCCATCATTGGTGGAGTTTAGAATGCTCTTTGATTATAAGCAAACGATAAATCCCAGCAAGTACAAATCCCAAATGACAAAATCAATTCCCCCACAACCCCATCAGTATGCCAAATTTGGTCCAGTGAACGTAAATGCATCCTGCATATCGGATATTTACATTACAAGTCATAACAGTAACAAAATTACAGTTATGAAGTAGCAACGAAAATAATGTTATGGTTGGGGGTCACCACAACATGAGGAACTGTATTAAGGGGTCGCGGCATTAGATAGGTTGAGAAACACTGATGTAAGGAGTAAACCAAATCTCCAAAAAGAAAAAAAACATGCAGAGGATGTACTAATAGTTAATAAAAACCAGTTTTAAAATGGGAAAAGCAACACAGGAGGGAAAATGTGCGTAGGTTCACAATGCTGAATCAGAACACTAGGCAAGCCAAAGTGATGAACTCATTTATTTTTCCCTTGAGGATTCGAACAAGAGACGGGAAGTCATTGACTCATAAGTAAGATCATTTACTGTGCAACTGTAAACAGTATATATTGTGCCAGCAAATATTTCCATAGTCCTTCACATTCTGGAAAATGCAAAGCAAATAATTTTGCTAGAATTATAAAGACAAAGATCCGAACAATAATAGAGGTCAATCTCAAACTTTATGTGAGTGAAATCATATTTGTATTTCAGTTAAATGTTAATTTTCGGGAACACTGAAAAAATCTATCCTGTTTATTGTGCTGATGTTACATCTGCACAAATTTTTCTCACAAAAGCTCAGCTTTGACCTATATAGAAGTCCCTGAAAACAAAAATGCTTGTGACCGTGTTTTGCTAGTAAATAGTAGCAGTTTTGGAAATAATAACTCTTAACATTTTAAAATTTATTTTTCATATGTATAAATAGTTTTGCTAGGAGGACATGGAGCATGAATGTCTATATTGTAAGTAGTGTTCAACAGTAGAATAGACTTATTGGAGAGTCGTGGAGTCTCCTCCTTTGGAGGTCCTTAAACAAAAGTTGCTTGGGTATCTTTCAGGAATGCTTCAAATATTTCAGCATGGTGGGGGATTGGATTAAATGACCCTTGTGGTCCCATCCAACCCAAAGATTCATAAGTTGTAATGTCAGCAAGTGTCACATAGTATGATGAGAAAATATATTTTGAGGCACACAGTGGAATGGCCCATTAATGATAGGTTTCATTGTATGTTTCTAGTATATGCATATTTTCATGATTCATTAGAAATCATAATTTTGCTTTGTTGCTATACAGTATCAATGATGTAAGTCTCATTTACTTTGATAAAGGTGTACAGTTTGAAGTCTTTGTTCCCTTATTTTGACACTTATTTTTTAAAATCACAAAGTTATTGTAATCTAGTTAATGGTTCTGTGAACTATTCTTATAAATCCTTTAAAATGGAAAAAGTGACATGATGTAATCACTCTAATGGACAGTGGAAGAATTTTTAACTAAGTGTTGTTTGATAATTTTACTAATTGCATTTGGAATGTGATTGTTTTTTTAAGTGACATTAGGATCAAGAATAATAAATAGATGGCACTTCAAAACCTAGCTATTATAAATTGAGTTACCATTTTGCATAAGCTCATCCCATTACTAATTTTATTGGAAAGCTTTTAACCCCATGGTAAACATAACAAAAGTAGTTTACCTTTTGCTATGTTGGCCGATATCCGACACTTATGTATGTGTTATATATGATCTATGAATAGAATTGAGATTAAATATTTAGCTTCGGACTTGATGTTGTGTTTTAATAGCCATGACAACAGCTTACATTGTAGATTATAACTTGGGACCAGATACTACAACAATCTGTGTGTATTTTGTGAGATAGACACAGAAAGATAGATTCAGACATGGTTATCCTCAGACATTTCTAAATAAGTGCATTAAATGTTAAAGGATCTAATTCTAAACACATTTGCTAGAGAAATAACCAGTATGTCAAGCACCAGCTCCTTCTGTGCCAGGACCAAAATTAAGAGGAAAGCAACAGACATTTGGTGTTGTGACTCATGTATGAAAACCATGGTTGGTAGTGCCAGGTCATACAATACTACATTTTACAGATAAAACCTCTCGCATAAGAGCTGGTGTAGATGTCATCATTGGAGCAGAGGCCAACAAAGAGGTGTCCAGCAACTCTGTGAGTGGGATTACACTGGATCAGTTTCAATTGGTGAGTACTGTTGATGTTGACAAGCTGTTGGGGCAACTAAGGAGGACAACTTGCTTTCTTGATACTTGTCCCTCTTGACTGGTCAGGATATGCAATTCAGTCTCAAATACAACTAATTATTATCAGGGAGGGGAACTTTCACAGCAGGATATCTCCTTAGTGGATAATCTCTGTCTTAACACTGACTAGGGGTGTGTCCCCCTGTTGGTGCTTCTAGACCTCTCAGCTGTTTTTATACCACCAACCCTCTGAAAAGTCTTGAGGGGCTGGGAATCAGAGGCACTGTGTTGCAGTAGTTCCAGTCATAATTCCCAGGCTGGTTCCAGATGGTGGTGCTTGGGGACAGCTGCTCTTCAAAAAAAGAGCTGTTATATGGCATCCGACAAAGTACCATTCTATCCCCAATGGTTTTTAATATTTACATTAAACCGCTGGGGAAACTCGTCTGCAGTGATGGGACAGGGTGTTATCAGTATCCTGGAGCCCCCGGTGGCGCAGTGGGTTAAACCCCTGTGCCGACAGGACTGAAGACCGACAGGTCGCAGGTTCAAATCCGGGGAGAGGCGGATGAGCTCCCTCTATCAACTGCAGCTTCTAATGCGGGGACGTGAGAGAAGCCTCCCACAAGGATGATAAATACATCACATCATCCAGGCGTTCCCTGGGCAATGTCTTTGCAGACGGCCAATTCTCCTACACCAGAAGCTACTTGCAGTTTCTCAAGTCGCTCCTGACATGACAAAAAAAGAGTCAGTATCCTAATGACATCCAAATATGTTTCTCCATGCCTTCAAAAACAGTCTCAGCTAAGGAGAGCATGTAGCCTTTGAACTAATGCCTAGCAGAAGTAATGGGCTGGATGAGGAAGAACAATTGAAACTGAATCCAGACAAAACAGAGTTGCTTGCCATCAAGGGTCCTAATCTGGGGGTGGAAGTGTGTCAGCCAGTTCTGGATGGGGTTACACTCCCCCTGAAACTTGGGAGTGCTTCTGGATCCGTCTCTCCAAATGTCAGGCCAGGTAGATGTGACAGTCAGGAGTGCTTTGGCTGATACAACAGCTGTGCCCCTTCCTATATTTGGAAGACCTAAAGATGATAGGTAGTGCACACACTGTTAACCTCAATATTGTCTACCTTTGTACCAAGTTTGGAAATTCCAAGTGGCTCAAAATATGGCATCCAAATTAGGTATAGAAACACCCACAAGTGAGCATATTACATCTATCCTAAAAAGTTACTCCACTGGCTGCCAATTGGCTTCCGGGAAAAGTACAAGGTGTTGTTTTTGACTTTTAAAGCCCTACATGGTTTAGATCCAGGTTACCTACAGGATCTCCTTCTGTACAGTCTGCCCCAAACACTTAGGTCCTCTGGGGGGTGTTTGTTCCAACCAGCCAGAACACAACTGGCAACTGTCAGAGGACCTTTTCATCAGCTGCCCCAAAACTGTAGAACAACCTGCTGGGAAAGCTCCAACAGCTAAATGAGTTGTTGGAATTTAAAAACCATCTAAAGACCTATCACTTCTGACAGGCTTACCCAGCCAGTTTTAAACCTGTGTATTTTAATATGTATTTTATAGAAACATGTTTTAATATGTATCTTTATAGAAATACATTTTAATATGTGTATGTGTATAGAATTTTTACAATGTTTATGTGTTTTAATTATGCTGTATGTTATTTACTATTTCCTTAGATTACTGTAGACCAGCATAACCATTTAAAATATACAAATATACAAACATTAAAACATGATTAAATGTAAACAGTATTAAAATAATACTGTTGTAATGAATATTTTCTTTGTTCCACCCTTCAAACTACAGGTATGGCAGAGTTCTTAGAACTAGACTGGACAGTAGACTGGAAGGAAAGATGCATTGCTTTGGAATCTCAGCTGATGAAATTTCGTCTGCAAGCAAGCAAAATAAGGGAGTTGCTAGCAGAGAAGGCGAGTTTTATTTATTATTTTGTTAAGTATCTATAATTATATATCCACCTCAGGGATGGTGGGTGGATTTGTTGTTGTGGAGGCAATGGATCTGCTCTTGGTTTTATGACCAGTCCTACCACAGATGCTCTGGGCTTTATGGGTGCCATTCAGATGCAAGTCCTTTTTCAGCTAGAGGTTTAGCACTGAGAGAGCTCCTATATAACCCTGTATAACCCTCTAATAATCCTGTATATAGAAATAATCTATCGGACAGATGGCAAGCTCTTTAACATAGAATCATAGAATCATAGAATCAAAGAGTTGGAAAAGACCTCATGGGCCGTCCAGTCCAACCCCCTGCCAAGAAGCAGGAATATTGCATTCAAATCACCCCTGACAGATGGCCATCCAGCCTCTGCTTAAAAGCCTCCAAAGAAGGAGCCTCCATCACACTCCGGGGCAGAGAGTTCCACTGCTGAACGGCTCTCACAGTCAGGAAGTTCTTCCTCATGTTCAGATGGAATCTCCTCTCTTGTAGTTTGAAGCCATTGTTCCGCGTCCTAGTCTCCAGGGAAGCAGAAAACAAGCTTGCTCCCTCCTCCCTGTGGCTTCCTCTCACATATTTATACATGGCTATCATATCCCCTCTCAGCCTTCTCTTCTTCAGGCTAAACATGCCCAGCTCCTTAAGCCACTCCTCATAGGGCTTGTTCTCCAGACATCAGCAGATTGAAAGCCAAAACCAAGGAGTTCCATTTGTTATGGAACTCCAATATGCTGATGACAACGTAATCTCTGCGCATTCAGAAGAAGACCTACAAGCCACTCTAAACACTTCTTCAGAAGCATACGAGAAGCTTGCCCTCTCATTGGACATTGAGAAACCCGAAATGCTCTTCCACCAGCCACCAGCCAATCCTTCTGCAATTTATTTATTTATTTATTTGATACACTTGTATACCGCTAATATCTCAGCCTAGAACGGCGACTCATTGCGGTTTACAGCAGTTAAAACACAATTGTATTAAAAAACATATAACACATATACAATACAAATTATTGGGCCACCAATAAACATCCCACATATCTCAAGTTAAAACCACAATCAGAATTCGTTGTCCATGTTTCCTGCCCTTAGTCATCTGGATTCGATTGTCACAAAAATTAGCCGAATGCCTGTTTGAACAGCCATGTTTTGAGTCTCTTCCTAAACACCATCAGTGAAGAGGCTGATCGTACCTCTATAGGGAGGGTGTTCCAAAGCCGGGGGGCCACCACAGAGAAGGCCCTGTCTCTCGTTCCCGCCAGCCGCACTTCTGAAGCTGGAGGGATAGAGAGAAGGGACTCTCCGGAAGATCTTAGGGTCCTGGTGGGCTGATAGGCTGAGATACGTTCGGATAGATAAGTTGGGCCAGAACCGTTTAGGGCTTTAAAGGCCAATGCCAGCACTTTGAATTGAGCCCGGTAGCATATCGGCAGCCAGTGGAGCTGGTTCAGCAAGGGAGTTGTATGCTCCCTGCACCCCGCTCCTGTTAGAATCATGGCTGCCGCCCGTTGGACTAACTGGAGCTTCCGGACTGTCTTCAAAGGCAACCCCACGTAGAGAGCGTTGCAGTAATCAAGGCGGGATGTAACCAGAGCGTGGACTACCGTAGCTAAGTCAGACTTCCCAAGGTACGGTCGCAGTTGGCGCACAAGTTTTAACTGTGCGAAGGCTCCCCTGGTCACCGCCGAAACCTGGGGTTCCAGGCTCAGCGATGAGTCCAGGATCACCCCCAAACTGCGAACCTGTGTCTTCAGGGGGAGTGCGACCCCGTCCAACACAGGTTGTAACCCTATACCCTGTTCGGCCTTACGACTAACCAGGAGTACCTCTGTCTTGTCTGGATTCAATTTCAATTTGTTCGCCCCCATCCAGACCGTCACAGCGGCCAAGCACCGGTTCAGGACCTCGACAGCTCCTTAGTAGCAGGTGAAAAGGAGTGACAGAGTTGAACATCATCTGCGTACAGATGACATCGCACTCCGAAACTCCGGATGATCTCGCCCAGCGGCTTCATGTAGATGTTAAACAACATGGGAGACAGTATTGAACCCTGAGGAACCCCACAAGACAAAAGTTGTGGGGTTGAACAGGAGTCTCCCAGTAACACCTTCTGAGACCGACCCTCGAGGAATGAGCGGAGCCACTGCAAACAGTACCTCCAAGACCCATCCCCGCGAGGCGTCCCAGAAGGATACCGTGGTCGACGGTATCGAAGGCGCTGAGAGGTCGAGCAGCACCAACAGGGACACACTCCCCCTGTCGAGCTCCCGACGCAGATCATCCACTAAGGCGACCAAGGCTGTCTCGGTACCATGCCCCGGCCTAAAGCCAGACTGTGCCGGGTCTAGATAATCCGTGTCTACCAAGAATGCCTGGAGTTGTGAGGCCACCACACGTTCCATGACTTTGCCCAAGAAGGGGAGATTGGAAACAGGCCGATAGTTGACGAATTGAGTGGGGTCCAGTGATGGTTTCTTCAACAGCGGTTTTATCACAGCTTGCTTTAAGCTGGCTGGAATTTTGCCTTCCCGAAGGGAGGCATTAACCACCACCTTCACCCACTCGGCCAATCCCCCTCTGGCCTCCTTTAGAAGCCAGGATGGGCAGGGGTCTAGGATGCATGTGGTAGCTCTCATTCCTCCAAGCACCTTGTCCACATCCTCGGATTGAACCAATTGAAATGAATCCATCAAAACCGGACAAGCAGATGCTCGTGTTACATCCTCAGATACTGCCGTTAATATGGTATCCAGTCCAGAGCGGATCAAAGCGACTTTGTCTGCGAAGAACCGAGCAAAAGCTTCGCAGCGAGCTGCCGAGTCATCAGGGCACCCATCCTGAGTGGTGGGTTTTAATAAGCCTCTGACAACTCGGAACAGTTCAGCCGGACGGTTCTTTGCAGACGCAATAGTGGCCGCAAAGAAAGTTTTCTTTGCGGCCTTTATTGCCGCGGCATATGCCCTTAAAAAGGACACAAACCGTGTTCGATTTGGCTCGCCCGGATTCGAACGCCACACGCTCTCTAGTTCCCTCTTCTTTCGCTTCAACGCTGCCAGCTCCTCGGTAAACCAAGGAGCTGGTTTAGGCTCGGCTACTTGAGAGGGGACGTTCTGGAGCGATCGTGTCTATTGCCCTAGTCATCTCCCCATTCCAGAGAGCGACCAGGGCATCAACAGGATCACCAACCGAGGTGGCGGGAAATTCCCCAAGAGCCGTCAGGAATCCATCCGGATCCATAAGCCTCCTGGGGCGGACCAATTTAATGGGTCCTCCACCTCTGCGGAGGTTAGGGGGTGCAGCAAGTCTAAAACTGACCAGGTGGTGGTCGGTCCATGGCAACGGAGAGATGGATAACTCCTCAACACCGCCACCTTCCTCCCATCCCTGACAGAAAACCAAGTCCAATGTATGTCCAGCACTGTGGGTGGGGCCAGATACTTGTTGGGACAGCCCCATGGTTGCCATGGTAGACATGAAGTCCTGAGCCGCTCCCGATGAGGCGGACTCGGCGTGGATATTGAAGTCCCCCAGCACAAGCAGCCGTTGGGACTCCAACACCAGGTCCGAGACCACCCCCGCTAGCTCAGTCAGGGAGTCTGTAGTGCAGCGAGGTGGACGGTACACTAACAGAATCCCTAATCTGTCCCGGTCTCCCACCCTCAGGTGGACGCATTCAAATTTTGTTGACTGCGGGATGGGGGCCCTGGTCAGAAGAATGGTATCTCTATAGACCACTGCAACTCCGCCTCCCCGCCCTCCGGATCTCGGTTGGTGCTGCACAGAGAAACCTGGTGGGCAAAGCTGGGGTAAATTTACACCTCCTGCTTCGTCCAACCAGGTCTCTGTGATGCACGCCAGATCTGCCCGTTCATCCAGGATTAAATCCTGGATGAAAGTTGTTTTACCGTTGACAGATCTGGCGTTCAACAGCACCACTTTCAATTCGGAGGGACCGCCATCCTGGTTACACCGACTTACCATATCAGGAGACCGATTTGGGATTACTAAAGTTGTTCCCCGTTCCCTAGGTCGAATTAAAGGTCTCCCTTTCCCGTATCTCCCCCTCCCCACCACGACTTCTATGGGGGCTCCCCGGTTAACGGAACCCCCTCCCTCCTCCATGACGCAGTGAGCAGCCAGTGTGTCAACAAACAATGCATTATTAGCTGTTTGACATATTGTGGTTACAGAGTGCCATAAACCTGTCTTCCATCCGTTTCCTACTCCCGCTTTACAATGCTCAAATCCCGTTAGCCTACTCCGTTCCCTCTCTCCAGCGTAAACAATCAACAGCAAGGTTAACAAGTACCGGGGGAAGGGTGATGACATGGATGGTAGGTATTAGGGCCTATCGGGTGAGTATTCCTAAAGTTTTTAATACGAATGGGTCATACAAGAAGGAGTAAGTAATTGAAGTGCAATTGTTTCCTCAATCCACTCTAAAGTGCTGGAATAAAGTGCGTCATGGAGGGCCCCGAATTCGATGCTAAATGGTGCGTTAAAACAGATTAAAGTGCTGAAACTCACAGGTTGTTAGTTCAGTTACCACAGAGATGATAATAATGGTAATAAAACTACAATTAAAGTGCTAACAGGTCGGGGCTAAAGTACTCGTCAACAGTAGCACTATTAGTTCTTAAGATCTTCTCCGGTCACTAATATAGATGTTCTTATTAGAGTAATGAGAATGGTCAGCACAGTTAGCAGAATCAGAAGAGATCGACACAGCAGAATAATCAGCCTACTCTGTGGCAGGTTACACAATCGAAGGGATAACACAGAAGGATTCAGGAAATGGACAACACAATCTGACAAAGTTCTATCAAAAATGGGAACCGGCACAATACTACAATAATCGGGCCCAAAGATGGTCAATACAGTCTTTCCGGAATTAATAATTAGCAAATGAGAGGTGACAACTCATATGATGGCAATCTCGTATGATGGCGGGAGGTTACCCACTTCTAGGCAA